CTTTATTCTTTGAATGTCACTTTGACCTACTCTTGAGCAGCAAACCAAAGAGTGGAGGTCCTGATAAAAGGGGTTGGAAAATGAGAAAATTTAATAAACTGTGGGATGCTTAACAAATCAGTAGGTTGAGATATGATTAAAGACAAACCTTTTAAATTATAATACAACCTCGAAGAAATAAATCTAAAATTCTATCAATTGCTTTAAGCAAAATGCTTAAATAAAATCAAAAATATTTTTATGAAGTCTTGCCATTTTTTTACAATATAAATAATATGTCCATCAATAGCCAACAAATAAATAACATATATCCAACAATGTTCCAAAATAATACATCCATCAATGGCCAATAAATAAATGACATATATCCAACAATGTTCCAAAATAAACATCCAAATGGCCAACAAATAAATGACATATATCCAACAATGTTCCAAAATAATACATCCATCAATGGCCAACAAATAAATGACATATATCCAACAATGTTCCAAAATAATACATCCATCAATGGCCAACAAATAAATGACATATATCCAACAATGTTCCAAAATAATACATCCATCAATGGCCAACAAATAAACGTCCATATATCCAACAATGTTCCAAAATAATACATCCATCAATAGCCAACAAATAAATGACATATATCCAACAATGTTCCAAAATAATACGTCCATCAATGGCCAACAAATAAATGACAAATATGATATATCCAACAATGCCCCAAAATAATGTCTATCAATGGCCAACAAATAAATAATATATATATCCCATATTTCCCAAAATAATATCTTAAAATGCATCAATGAAATTGAAAATATTTCTATAATGTTCATTTTTCTCACCTTGTTGACTCATATTCTTTGTTTCCTCTTGGTAAGCTGTTGGGGCTGGAAAAAATTCCCAAATTAACAAACTGAGTCAAGGGCAGTTAAATTTTTCACTGTCCATTATGAGTGGCAGGATTTCAGTTCTATGCTTATTAGAATGTTAAAAAAAAAAACTACTGTGGGGGACAAGTTAGTATCACAGACCATTACTACAGTTGTAAGGTCATTACTTATTACATGCTACACTCATGTTAAACCGTCTAAGTTCTGCTTTGACTCTATACATCTAACGTCTCCACCTAAAATTTGAATTTTTACTATTATTTTATTCCATTTTTTAAATTTTTTATCTTTTTTTTCACAATAGGAGTAGATAGATGCACTTATCGTCCGGTTCACGCTCCTTCTTATTTTATTTTTTTTTGAACAGAAGTAAAGGTTTATCATCTCTTGTTCCTTGTTTAAGATTGGGTTTCCAGTTCCTTTTAAATTCTATTTCATTTTTATACTTCTAACATTTCTGCCTAAACTCTGAAATTTATACTATTATTGGTGTAGTATCATATGAAAATTAGATAGACAAGTATAAATAGAGAACAACTGGTAAACTAGGGGAGAGTTATATCTAGCAAACCCAGTTGCTATTCAGGACATGGGGAACTGTACTACAACTACTACTACTACAGAGAGAGATATGCAAAACATAACAATTGGTTTTCTGGTTTCTTCTAAAGATTTTTTTCCTTCTTTTCACTTCCAGTAGCCTGTTGCATCTTAGTAGCATTATTGCCTTGCTCATGGTGAATTGATTCAAAACAAAATTTTTAAAAATTTTACCACAAGTAAAAATTGAACAAGGGAGATAACTCGTAAATGTAAAAAATTTGTTTCAGTTTTTTTTAATTTATATTTTTAATCATTTTATGAATAATCTTGATCATTTACAATGTATTTTGTATAATAAATCATTTTACTGTAGAAGTGCATTGATCATCAGGAAGAATGTTATAAAATAATATGAGCATTACCTTTATAATAGGGTCATTGTAAGTATAATATTAATGCATTCTTAATGATTGTCTTACAGCCCTTGGGTCACAACCAGCCAGACATGATCAGCTTGAACTATTGAAACAAATAACCTGCTTCTCTGATCTGCAGTTAAGTAATTGATTATTTTGTCTGAACATTTGCTAACATTTAACATTTTTATTCTTTACACATCGTTCTAAGTGCAGCATTGTTTTTCTGCAATTGTCACGTTTCTCTTTTGTTCCGAATTTTGTTCTCATGCGGGAAAATGAAATAAAATCAATAAATAAAATAATAAACAATAAAAAAACAAGAATAAATAAATACATTTTCCTATGATGTTAGTAATAAAGGAACCAGAAAGGGTTTTTTAGTCATATCCAAAATTTTATGACCCCCACTTCCAGAAAAGAATGAAGCACTTTCTTATCATTTTCCAACACAGAACATTTTAATTTGTTTTAAGCTCTACTCATGAAGTAAATAATTTGGTGATTCCAACTCTGTGCAAAGCTGACTTGAGCTTGGCCAATTTAACCATTATTAACTTTACTTACCCTAATTTTTTTTTTTAAGCATTTCATCCCAAGCAAGGCAGGATGTCACTAGTACGCAGGGGGTTACAGAGTGAGAGTAAAGAGGCGTGATTGGGGAAAGGATGAAGAGAAGGACAGGGAATAGGTCAGGGCATCTGTAGATGTTGATTGACATTACATTTGAATAGTTGGAGATTATAGCTATCAGGGAAACAAGTAATAGGAAGGAAATTCCACAGATGGGAGGTGCGAGACATGAAGCTATTTGAGTAGAAGAGATGGCCACATTTAAATGTTTCAACAGTAAAAGCGTGGGATCATGATGCCAGCCTAGTAGCACGCTTAAATTCATGCAGTCTGTGAACTAGCGAAAGTAGCTCATCTGAGCAGTTACCATGAAAGTATTTGTAGAAAAGACAAAGGGAAGTGACAGCACGTCTGTAAGAGAGCAACTGTAAATGAGATGCCAGATCATATTGCATATCTGTCTCTGGATTTTGTCAAGGACCTTAAGATGAACAGCGAGGGCTCCAAGCCATATGTGGCAGCAGTATTCCATGCAAGGGAGAATGGTTGATTTATAGATTTGAAGGATGGACTTGAGTGAGAAAAACTTTCTGGTGTAACACGCAAAACCAGCTTTCCTTATGGTAGATGAAGCTATTGATTCAATGTATTTGTTCCATCTCAGGTCAGCAGACAGTGTGAGGCCAAGCAGTTGCAGAGAGGTGCTCTCATAGAGTTTAATGTTTTACTCATTATTTATTATTGACTAGCAGTAGAGCCTGGTGTTGCCCGGGGATGTAACAGTAAGAGATAGATTAAGTATCGACCATCATAAAGACTGAAAAATAAAATTGACAAAGATTATTGTTTAAGGTTGACGAACACGCATAAGCAGTTTCTTTTTTTGTTTTTTTTTACAAATTGGTCAAACCCAAACTCAAATAAAAACATTGTTTTCAATCGTTATGAGTCTACTGATTGAATAGAATTTTATTATAAACATTGTCTTGTAAATGGAATTTTTAAAGCATTCTAAATGTAAAAATAAAGAAAAAAGTGTGCAAGACAATAAGAAACACTACCTGCCAAAAAAAAGTGAAGTTTTGTTGAAATTGGTTGAAAAATGTAGGAAATCCGATCCCATATATAAATGAACACACACACACACACACACACACACAAAGAACCTGGGTTTTATAATAAGTACAACTCGATATGAGTTGTCCCCCTTTCATTATCGCGATGCCTCTTAACCATGTTTTCAAATTGATTTTGTGCAAAAACAATTGTTTTTCCAATTTTTGGCGCTGTCAGAACCACCGCAAGGTAATTTTACGTAGTCCTGTGAAGTTTTGTTGAAATCGGTTGAAAAATGTAGGAAATCCGATCCAATATATAAACGTACAGACACACACACACACACACACACACACACACACAACCTGGGTTTTATAATAAGTATGATTACTTAATTATATGTTGTTGATTATTATTATTACATTTACATACATATATAATTTCTTCTTGTATAAATAAACTACAGGATTAATTCCATTGATTTTAGATAGTATGCAATACCTTATCCTTAGAGCAATATTGTTAAATATTATTGCAAGAAGATAAAACAACCTTAACAAGCTACTGCAGTTTCACTCATTGGATCTGCAAGCAGGACTGGTTAAAGATTCTCATACATATACATATATGATAAAATTTTGCTCCTGTCAAAATATCCTCCTTTAGCCTTGATTACTGCAGCACAAACTTTTGCAATGAATGCTAAAAGAAAAAAACAATTGCAATACTTTTCATGCATGATATATGCCTTAAATCAGACATCGAATTTTGCGGTTTTTGCCCCTAGTAGTAATACTAACCTCTAAAATGATGTTTGCCAAAATTTTTTATTCATACTCATTTTATTATTGATTCTTATGTAGTTTGATGCATAGAAAAAGAAAAAAACAATTGCAATTTTTTTTGTGCAAGATATATACCTTAAATCAGACATCGAATTTTGTGGTTTTAGCCCCTAGTAGTAATACTAGCCTCTAAAATGCCGATTTCAAAAATTTTTTATTCATACTCATTATTGATTCTTATGTAGTTTGATGCGTAGAAAAAGAAAAAAACAATTGCAATACTTTTCGTACAAGATATATGCCTTAAATTACATATCGAAGATTGCGGTTTTAGCCCCAAGTAGTAATAGCATTCGTTGCAAAAGTTTCTCAAAGTATAAGTTTGATAATCCATTCTTTTTTCAATGACTTTAAGAGCTTTTTTTTCATTTTTTTTTCCACCCTTCTGTCAATTTCATCCCATGCTAATTCTGGTAGTGACTTCAAACTTTTAAGCTGTAGTGTGTGTGTGTGTGTGTGTATATATATATATATATATATATATATATATATATATATATATCCATGCGTGCATGGCCAAGTGGTTAGAATGTTCACTTTTTGACCATGAGACCCAGGTTCGAGTCTCACCATGGTCAATTTGTCAGGAAGGAGACTTCCTGATGTTATTGGTCTGGCGTGGGGGGACAATCCCAGCATGTGCTATAAGGCTGGATGTGCAGATGGTATCACAGCCATATCACATTGAAATACAAGTTCCCGTACAATCACTGATGTTAAGCAACGTCGAGCCTGGTCAGTACCTAGATGGGTGACCGCTTGGGAATAACAGGTGCTGTAAGCTTGGGTGGTGTAATGGATAATGGCTCGGAATTGGAGAGTCAAGTTCCAATTCCAGTTGTGTTTGTTATATTCCCTTATGTGCAAATACCTCTTCTCTCCCCAGCTATAGGTTAATTAATAGAACTTATATCAGTAAATCATTATTATCTTCAAAAAAAATTCTTATAATCTAAAAATATTTTCTAGCTTTAGATAATCTGCAATGGGTTGATAAGCTGCAGAAAATGAATGAATGAATGAATCCGTCAAATGCTGATTAGCTACGCAGGCATGTTTTTTAGATTTACTTACATTCTCTGGAATATAAATGTATAGAAACTACTGGGGCCACAAAGTGAGGGATCATTTTATATGTTGATTGTAATATAGAATTGATGTCCCACATTATATCCATATTGTAATTTCTTGTTTATCAAATTCTGTTTAAGTAGGAATCCTCTTTTCCCCCCAGCTATGGGTTAATTAGTAAGACTTGTATCAGTGAACCATTATTATCTCCAAAAAACAGAGTTTAAAATAATTTCTGACCTTAAATAAGGTGATAAGCAATGAAAAACAATCACTCATTTACAGACTGCTAACCAAGCTTGTGTTGCTTCACATCAGTGACTGGACAATAATCAGCCCTATCAGTGTTATATTGCTCCAAGGTGTAGGTGGCTTAATGGTTAACAGTATTGCAAATGGAACTGGTGATCAGAGTTCAAACTGTTACTGTTTGTGTCTGCTTTGCACCTGTTGACTTTGGAAAAGGCATGAAACCACTTCTCTTTCAAGGGACTGTTTCTTGCTGCTGGTATTATTTAATCTAGTACAACCCATTGCACATTAATTGGAAGATAAACAGGAATTTTAAGTAAAGTCCCATTGTCCTGAGATTGCTTGGTATGGCATCCTGATGCCCTTGTTATGGCATCCTGATGCCCTTGGTCTGGAGAAATATCCATGCCTATTAAATGTTTTCTGTTGCAAAATTAAAATGTCACCATGTATTGGGAAAATATTAAATAACAAAATATATTGCTAAAAAAAAAAAAAAAATAAAAAATGCTTTTTTATATATATATATATATATATATATATAGCTGGTAAATGTAATTAATACCATTTAATTAAAAAAAAACAGCATTTACTTAAATAAATTGTATCTATCAAAATAATGTATAAACAGAAAATATATTAAATAATTGTTGGAATTAATCAATTTTATATATATATATGTAACACCACTTGTCATTCCTGGTCAACGGTAACCAATAATGTAACCCCAAGAGTTGATCCTCGACAACGGTAACCATGTAATGTCACCCCATGTGTTTGTTCTCGTCAACAGTCATCGTTAATGTAGCCCTATGCCCACGGTGGTACCATCTAGCTGACACTTCATTTGTTAATGTGTGACTCATTTGTTGCTGGTATTGTGAAGGGTACTCACCTTAGATAGCATTTGTTTGTTTTACGACCATTCACTCTGCCTATTATGGTCAGACTCATGATGAGGAACTAATGCATTGAGTGTGTCATTTTGTATGAGAACCCTTTTGTATTAGTATAATTTTTTATTTAAATTCCTTGAGGTTTCTCCTATGTATTCCTTGTTGCAATTATTACAGGTAATAAAGTAAATTCCTTCAAGACTTAGCTTATTTTGTTTTGTATTAAGTTTTTTATTGATATAGAAGCAGTTGTGACAAATTTTATGTTGAGCTTAGATAAATTCTTTTTAATTGTAGTTGTGATAGTTGGTGGGTAGAACAAAATATTTTCTATTTGTTGGGTTTGTCGAGAAGGTCTGCTTTTCTATTTGGAAATATTTTATGAGCCTTTTATTTTGCATTGAATATGAAGTAACCAGTGTATTGGAGGAGCTTAAAAGTATTTTTAATGTACTTCTCTTCATGTAAATATTGAGGGCTATAAATTCTGAGGGCTCTAAAATAGAATCCAATAATTATTCCTGATTTTATCTTATGGTGAGAATATAAATTTATGAAATCATTTTTAGTTGATTTGTGATGGGCAATTAGCTTTAGGTTGTTGTCAATACAGCGTAACATGATATCTCGGAAAGGTAAAGTATTGTTTGTCTCCATTTTGTAGGCAAATTCTATTGTATGTTCGACTTTCAGTTTATCTACAAGGTCAGATAAATTAGTTTTGCATGGATATATTAACAGAGCATCAATATATTGGAAATATGTTGTTTAGGTAAAATATTTTGGAAAGGACCAGAGTTGAGAAATTCAAAGAAAATACATGCCAGCACCCCGCTTAGAGATAACTCCATTGGTAATCCAAAGTTTTGATTGTAAAATTGTTAAATGTGAAATCATATTGATTGGTGATGAGATGGTGAATTTTTATTATTTTAGCTATTGGTAGGAAGAGGTTTATTTTTTATTGTGTTCAATGTTTTTTAAAACCATTTAAGTATTTGTTAGCAGGAACATTGGTGTAAAGGAATTTATCTAAAGTAGCCATGTGTTTGTCAGTCGTATTTATTCCCCTTGTATATATTTTAAGCGATTTCCCCCCCAAGCAAGGCAGTAAAGCCACTAAGATGCAAGGGGTTACTGGGTATGGAAGAATTAAGAACAGAAACATTATTAATGAACAGGAAGAGAAAAGAGTAATCTATCTACTGATAGAGATTGACATTACAGATTAAAGTTGGCTGGAAAGCATGGAGCCAGAAGGGAGTTCCACAAGTGAGAAAAGAAACTATTAGCTTAAAACTTACAATTACGTCTAGCAAGCTCAACTGTAAATTGGTGAGATATTGACACCAGTCTAGTACTGCGCTTAAATTCAAAACGTTTAGGTAACATAGTGAAGAGCTCATCCAAACAATTACCATGAAAGTATTTATAGAAAAGGTGCAGGGAGGCAAACTTATGGTGGTGGGAAAGTGACTGAAGCCAAGCTGCCAGATCAGGACTCATAATATTGCTGATTCTTCTTTGGATTTTATCAAGGAGCTCAAGAGCTGGTTGATATTAATTTCATTGTTTGAAATAACTGAAATATCAACTCAAATATGTGTCCCCATTAAGAAAAACGTAGTTATGGAACAATGTCAGATTAAAAAAATACATTTAAAAAATTACGTTGTTATATATATATATATATATATATATATATATATATATAGTGCTGTTCGATAAAAGTGACTCACCTGAATTTTTTTACTTAAAAATTTTTTGCCTATTATTTTTGGGGTCAAACTAATCTTTAATCTTACTAATATAAAGACCCCCTCTCCTACCACCTAGTATAAAAAAGTTTACTCACCCTAAGGTATTCTACTGATAATTATAATTTTGGATATAAATGAGATTTAGGGAAAAACTGTGCAAAAAAGTGACTCACTTATTTCCTGCAACTAGTAATCAATAGAAACATAACTGAACAGCTTTAAATAAAGAATAATAGAGGTATTATTTATTTATAATAGGTAATGTAGTTCGAAATATTTAATAATAATCTATGACCTTTTCAACCTTTTTTGGCATTGACTTGATTAGGTTCTGGCAAATCTCATCTCCAAGCATTGAATTCCATTCGGATATGAAATTCACAATCAAATCCTCTTTGTTGCTCAACTGCTTTCTCGAGAGCCTGTACTTTATAATTCTTCATAAGTTTTCTATGGGGTTGAGGTCAGGAGATTTGGGTGGCCATGTCATAACACCTGCTTCTCATCAAAGTATTCCTTCAAAAATTTTGATTTGTGACAGGGAGCATTATCCTGTATAAAAATGAGCTTGGTAGGGTCGATTTGCACCCTTTCAGCAAAAGGGAGCAGACAAGACTCTAAAATTCTCTTGTACTGCTCGCTCATGAGGGTCTTTTCAATAGGTTTTAAGAAACCAGTTCCATGAAAAGCATCCCCAGAACATTATACTGAATGGATGCTTCACTGTACTTACTGCTAAATTCAAAGAGCTTTCAAAGCTTCTTTTTCAGATTTTAGATTGTTTATCCTTTGAATTTAGCTCAACTTTCATTTCATTGGAGAAGAGAACATTTAATAAAAAAAAATCAGGTGTATCACTTTTATCGAACAGCACTATATATATATATATATATATATATATATATATATATATATATGAGGGTAGATGACAAGCAGTCTTCAAAAGACCCAGTGAGAGACATTTTTTTTTAAGTAGGTAATTGATACTTGCTTTATTACACTGATTTCCTGTAGCCTAATTGTTAGTTCATTTCCTTTTCAGAGGCAAAATTATCATTAGTAAAGACTTTTCAATCTCTAGGCTGGTTGACATTAATGTCACAGTTTAAAATAACAGGGATGTGGACTCTCTCTCTCTATATATATATATACACAATTCTCTTTTTGCATGGTTTTGAAATAACACAGTCCAACAAAAAGAACAGATTTTTTCTTTTTACTTTAACATGGTTCACGCTACCCAAACATCCACCTTGGCTATTGGAACAACCGAAAGTCATTTTAAGACTGGCTGCCCACACTAAATCTGACACACACCTTTTATGCTATATAGAAAAACTAAATGATATCCTGGAACAATACCCAAATTGGGCCCACATATATACCGATGGCTCCAAAGTCAAAAACAAAGTAGGCTATCTTTAAATGTACTGTTCTACAGAAAAGATTACCTAACAACTCCTCAATTTTTAGTGCTGAAATTACAGCCATTGATTTAGCTCTAAACCTCATCACTAAACTTAACTCAAATAAATTCATTACTTTTGCAGACTCATTATCAGTACTCGAATCATTAAAAAACCAAAAATTAAACAATCCTTTGCTCATTAAACTCCTACATAGAATAAATGCGATCTCACAAAATAAAACCATTATTTTCTGTTGGATTCCCAGCCACTCTGGTTTTCATGGAAATGAAAAAGCTGATGTGGCTGCAAAAAACTCTCTGAAACTTAACAAAAGTAACATAAAGGTTCCATACACTGACTATAAACCCCTAATAAATGACTTTATTTTAAAGAA